TTTAGCTACAGCAGCTAAATGTTTTTTTCCGTGTATGGATTTTAATTTTAAGCGTTAAATACTCAGATTATTCAGAAAGCTACCCGCTGTTTTTCATTCGTTAATACTAACGTTGTTTCAACCATTTTATTTCAATTATACTGATATTGTTGATACAACATCATCTTTTTTTCCGTGTAATAAATTTCGCCAATGTGCAAATGCACAACTACGCGTGCATGTACACAGCAAATTAAAAGTTACAAAACCAAATACATTGCAAATATTTGTGGCAATACTATGTAATATTTCTATGTCTTCATAGTTGCTATACTCGCATGTTCCCTTTTACCAGAACTTTATAACTTTTAAAGAGATAAGCGACATTTCCCGATAAAAGTTTTAGAATTATTTTTACAGTTTCAGAAAATAAATAAAAAGCCACCTAGAAACTGGAGCGAAAAAATTTAGTCGCGTAAACGATAAAAAAAATCTTTAACTACAAACACACGCTTGTTCGTTTTTACGTAATTCTCGACCCAATGATTTTTAATAATTTTCTAATTGGCACAATCACGATGATAGTCATACTTCGCGGTAGAAGTTCTAGAATTTTTTTGTACAATTGGCAACATTAACTTGTATTGCGTCCGACGACATAGCTAGAGCTAAAGAGATTGAATTATAAATGCATTATAAATAGTCTTGCGGACAATAAAATGCTCAGTTTCACACGTTAACCACGTTTCGTTTTTAACAGTCGTCGGTTTCTACAATAGTCAGCATTATCGTCACGTGTGACACGTGAGTTCTCATACTTTGAATGTTATTTGTGCACAAACTTATCAGTTCCGAAGGTGGCCATGCGCGATAATGTCACATTTGCAAGTCAAAGTGTCACTAACAATGGGATAAATTATAAGCTTTTAAGTGATGCGAGAGACACCGGGATTTATTATAATACTTTATTTTAAATCCTAGGGAAAAAAAACCCCTCTCGATTGCGATAACCATATATCGTATTGTACAATAGTTTCAATAAACTCGCATTTTATGCTATAAATATAGATCGTCTACAGCGGCCTTGTTTAATTTTTTATCTCGCATTATGATTTCTCTTATAAAGTAAGTCTACAAATGTAATGCAACATTAATAAAATGCAAATTCTACTGATAACAATTATCCCAGATACGATTATAATAGCTGATTATCGGTTCAAAGATATTTTATGACAAGATCGTGTGTAACTTTCAACGCTATCATTCAGTATTATATATATATATATATATATATATATATATATATATATATATACAGGGTGTACTAAAACCACCGGAGGTCCTCTTAATGACAGATTCCTTAGAACATCT